CTGGTAGTCTTTTATGACTCGGGGAGGCGTGAAGTAGGAACTTGTGAGGACCAGGGCTAGGTATTCCGCTTCTTCCAGGTTGTCAACTCACCAACTCCTTCGATATTGCGAGACTATTCACAACGTGTGAAGTTGAAGCTGAGAGTTGAATCGACGCAAAAAAGATTCCGTTGTATATCGTTTTCTTTGAAAGAGAAGGTATAATAATGCTATCTCCTTTTTTCTTCACCGATGGCAGACACGAAGCGACCGCTGCCAGCCGTTATGGAAGTTTCGGTTGCGTTTGGGTGCAAAGAAAAAATCATGAAACTCAATCTCACCACAGTTTGGTGAGATTTGCAGCTGGTGAGTTTTGTTAGCTTGATATTCCTAGCTGGGATATCACAGCTTGCATAGTCAACCGTGCACAAATCATTGATAGGTTTGTTCCGATGTGCTAGTTCATTAGCTACAGCATAAATCCTATTAGAGCGCATTGTATGAATATTTACGCTCATTGTTCTCAAAACAAAAGAAGCGCTCCTAGCGCATCCCCTTTTTCTACGTTTATCCGTAGGACGAAGAAAATCTAATGGCTTTTTAAATGCGTTTGGACGGAATTGAAACTCGTAGGATGAATTTAGAATCAAGAAGCAGTATGAGATTTTAAACAATATCTCAACAATGTGTGACTCATTATCACATCCAACGGAAGTCATCTTTGACAGAAATATTCCATTTATTTTTCAAAACCCGTTCAAAAAAGAGAGGTCAAAACTAATACTCGACTGAAGAAACCATCGCAACTTACTGAATATATAGTAAACCTAACTACCAAGTGCAAATTTACCTTCACAGGTTTTAATATATATATATAAAGGGTGATACGGTCAAAATTTGGTCAATACGTATTTCTTTCAATTTTGCATTTAAAAAACCTGAACACCCCTCATTTTGAAGGTGTGTGTGTGTAGAATGTTGCTCCTATTTTGATTTTGGAATTCACTCTTCAGTTGTCAAAATGCCGTCCAAGCAAGAAGAGCAGCGTATCAAAATTTTGCTCGCGCATCGCGAAAATCCGAGCTACTCGCACGCAAAGTTGGCAAAATCGCTAAAAGTTGCCAAATCAACCGTTACAAATGTAATTAAAGTGTTTGGGGAACGTTTGTCGACAGCCAGGAAGTCTGGATCGGGGGGAAATCGAAAACCGGAAGCCGCTGAGACGACAAAGAGAGTTGCCGGTAGTTTCAAGCGAAACCCTAACCTCTCTCTCCGAGATGCCGCAAATAAGCTGGGTGTATCGTCTACAACCGTGCATCGAGCCAAAAAACGAGCCGGACTATCGACTTACAAGAAGGTAGTGACTCCAAATCGCGATGATAAACAAAATACGACGGCCAAAGCGCGATCCCGGAGGCTGTACACGACGATGCTGACGAAGTTTGACTGCGTGGTAATGGACGACGAAACCTACGTCAAAGCCGACTACAAGCAGCTTCCGGGACAGGAGTTTTATACGGCAAAAGGAAGGGGAAAGGTAGCAGATGTTTTCAAGCACATGAAACTGTCAAAGTTCGCAAAGAAATATCTGGTTTGGCAAGCCATCTGTACCTGTGGCTTGAAAAGCAGCATTTTCATAGCTTCCGGGACTGTCAACCAAGAAATTTACGTGAAAGAGTGTTTGAATAAACGTCTGCTGCCTTTCCTGAAGAAACACGGTTGTTCCGTACTGTTTTGGCCGGATTTGGCATCTTGCCATTACGGTAAAAAGGCCATGGAGTGGTACGCCGCCAACAACGTGCAGGTGGTTCCCAAGGACAAGAACCCTCCCAACACGCCAGAGCTCCGCCCAATTGAGAAATACTGGGCTATTGTCAAGCGGAACCTAAAGAAGACCAAAAAAACTGCTAAGGGCGAGCAGCAGTTCAAGGCAAACTGGCTTTCTGCGGCGAAGAAGGTGGACAAGGTGGCTGTACAAAATCTGATGGCAGGGGTCAAGCGTAAGGCCCGGCAATTCGGATTTGGAAAAGCGGAAGCCTAACTGAATATTTTTCCTGAATTTTATACTAATTGAACTTGAAAAAGAAATTTAATTTGATTTTTTAAATAAACGATTTCACCGATTTACACGCGTTTTCCCTTGACCAAATTTTGACCGTATCACCCTTTATATAAATAAGTTGCAATAGTTTTGTTCAGTCGAGTACTAAGAAGTCTGCACATAGTCGGCGAAATACGCGGGTCTGTCAAAGGTAAGCAATAAAGGGAGTGTAATCAACTGGAAATTACTAATACTCCTCTCTTTCTCTATGCACACAGCAAAAAAGTGTTGTGAAATTCCATCTTTTTCGTGTAAACTTTTTGCCAATGTAAAAACATGAAAACTAACGTGTATTTCTTCATCATTTAACATGCAAGTTTACATGATACACTTGGTCATCATGTAAGTTAACAAACTTGCATTTAAGCTAACTGTACAAGCTTGTAAATGTACATGTATGATGCAGTTACAGAGCAAAATCTGTAAAATTACATGTCCAATTTCATTACATACTCCATTTGTTATCATTTGTAACTGATTGCGTCGCACGTAATTTTAATTATTTTTTAGTGTGCATGTATTCCACTATAAACGCCCACATGCATCACGATTTATCTAAAGCTTCTCATTGTAAATAAATTAATGTTTGTTTGGAATTTGGGACACATAGATTTCAACGTTTTAAGCTCCATTCAGACGACTACATTTCGTTTAGTTTTTATTCGCAATGATCTTGAATTTTCTACTAAATTTTCAGATTTGAAACAAAATTCAGCATTCTTTGAAGCCATGATTTTCACCCATTTTCACTGAACTACATCCTACAGATAGGCATAGGCAGGATAAGCGGCCGCAGGATGGTACGCCAACGGAGCCTGATAGGTAGCATGGTAGCTGGGCAGCAGAGCCGGGGCCGAATAGAACGTGGTAGCCGCCGGTCTATCAATTCGCTCGCTGTACGAATACGATGCTGGCGCCTCAAACAGGATCGGTTTAGGAGCAGCAAAAGCGGCAGCAATCAAAGCTAGGATAACAATGACCTATTCATGAGGAGAAATGGAAAAGAAAATTTTAATTTTTCGCTGGGGCTACCGTTTTTACGTTGCGTTTGCACAGCACTCACGTATTTGAACATTTTGAAAGAGGTTTTGTTTTTTTTCGTTCTGGCTAGAAGAGATTCACTCGGTGACTGATGCCTATCCTGGCAAGAACGAGTGGCTTTTATACTCTACTCTACTCCGTTGTCATCGTTTCTGAACGAGCCCCATAAGTTTACAGCCTACTGATAAAAAAGGTGCAAAAGGAATCGCTTCGGTCTGCTGACAAGAATCTCACGCAAAAGTAGAACTCGAGGGTAAAACAAAAAAAAATAGTCCGATAGGAGTGGGTGTTCGTCGAGTAGGGACAAGCAGAACAAGTTGTGCAAGGGGTATAACTTGACTTGTTATTTCTACTTCACTGGCGGCGAGATAAGCGCGCTTCTTTCACAAAGTTGAGATGAAACATCCTTTGGAATGCAGTTCCAGTTGTTTCGCTATTTCAAGTTGGGACTTTATGCGTTCGTTACCCTGAATCAGATGTTGTCTTGCATCCGGAGATGCGACCGATTTAATCTGCAGATTAAACGATCTACTGCAAATCAACGTCTACTGGATGATCCAAAACGTTCATTAAATGTGCTTCTTCTACCTAATTTATTAGTTTTGGTCCTCCACCTGCTAGGAACATACCAAAGTTTAGTTGAATCCAGAGTAGTCATCATCTTCAAATATCTAACCTTTTAACTTTGTCAGTTAATTACGATAACTATGATGTATTTCCACTCAATTAGTCAAATGCATTGCTCCAATTCACCTCAGTGAGTAAAAAGTCATTACCATCGCTAGTGGCAAGAGTTCTCTCGATACACTATTTAATCTACTGTAATAACAATTACCATTCCGGTTGACCTAGATCCATACAAACTTCCATCTTCGAAGACAACATGACACACCTATCGATTGGTTCTGTCCAACGAACGCAATGCATTTTGAACTATCACATCACAGTATGCTGTGGATATGGATGAAGCGCTACATTCAATGCAGAAGAGAAAGTTTTTGCAAAGTTTCTGTGGCTACTTTGATTGGTGTGGGCTACATGTAGAAAACCAGGAAGTGAGATAAAATGGTGGGTTTCGCATAAACACCTTCATAAAAGATAGACGGCAGGTCTCGCAAAAGGGAGGATTTGTATGTATTTCAATTTAAAAAAATAGACGGTACTTAAAATTCACTATTAGAAACATCAAAAACTACATAATTATTTAGTTTGGGGAATCAATTTACAATTTAATGTAGGTACCGAAATCGAGGGCAAATTAATTATTATAGGATGCGTTTTCATTTGTCACGTAGACAATTTTCGGTGGTAGATATCAAGAGAAATCTTCACAGCATTTCATCATGAGACTCCTATGATTGCTTTGACGACTCATCAAAGTAAAAAAAAAATTATACTGCATAATTTTCAACTTTATTCAACCAATGTTTTTCGGTATATTCTAATTTAAAAAAAAAATAATTGCATGACTAACAGTCGATCGATCGTAGAAATCCATTCAATATCAGCATTCAAACAAACGGTCATACGGTTGCAACGATTATTGACATTAACTTGAAAGTGGTATTTTTTTTTCATTAAACTAATGGTCAATGAGTTTGAATTATTTAACCGACTTCCAACTTTTAATTTAGTGCTGGCAACGCAATATAATTAAAAAAGGTACCTACCTTCAAACGGCAAAATGATAAATTTATTAAAAAGTTTTACTGTCTCAGTGAGCTTAATGGACTTGCAGACCGCAATAGCCAAAGGCATTTACAACAGTCAAGGGGATCAACGGAGTCCTAATTACACAAGATTAATTTTCCGTCCGCAAAAAAGTTCATCCAAACTGACACGTGTTTTGCATTTCTCCTTCTATACCAACGATTCGCAGTGTCCTCCATCTACGGCAACCACACGCTGGACAGTGGGAAGGCTAACAAAGGCAGCAGTTCCAGTACAGCGTTCAATGCTACGGCGAACCATCCCACGGCCACCCTCTCGCTCATCCCAGATGATGAGATAGCGCACTTTGTGAACCAGTCCCGGATAATGTCCTGCAGTTTCCCCGACCCGGACGTGAAACTTAAATGGCGCAACCCGAAGAACGCCATCGTCAGCGACACCAAAGGTCGGGTTCACATTGAGGACTTCGATGGTTCCCTTTCGCTTGTCTTCGAGTCCATCGTCCGAGCTGACCAGGGCAATTGGACCTGCGAATCGAACAATAGTGGGGTCGTGCAGAAAAAATCCTTCAAAATGATTGTCAATGGTAGGTTATTATTATTATCTCTATTTAGGAGATTTTCAGCCGCAGGCTGGTTCATCTCCGATTCAATGGTAGCACCTACCGCATAGATGAGTTCAGAATTGTGAATACATTTTCTTTTATTCATAAATCGCCAAAGTTTCCAATTCTGTCACTTTTTCCGTTCCGTGTTTCCAACAAAAGTACTCATTACTCATTCATGTCTTGCAGAGCCAATCTCGTTCCGGGACACCAACATTGTCCAATCGGCAGCCGAAGATAAGGATGCCACCATCCGGTGCGAGGTGAGAGGGCATCCAGAGCCATCGGTGTCGTGGTACTTCAACGGGCAGCCATTGTTCGGTGAGTATTATGTTAGAAAGAGGGAGAAATTGGAATGCTTTTCATGCTCTCATTGCTGCTACTGCTGCTGCTATCCAAAATAGGGTCGACCTAAGAGTCCCCAATATTGGACCGATTGATAAATTTCGAAGGAGAACATTTAATGCCAATTTTTGAATTCATCTAAAAATATCCATTTGCATTATTCTAAGAAAAATGGAAGAACAGGAGATTTTTATCGATGGGCCAACAATAATGCTATTTCCCATATATATTTTTTATACTTGATGTTTAGGGGTGCTAGGATCATATTTACGTTGCCACGTCATCCGTTTTCCATCGGCAAGTTTTCACCCTGATGAAAATTTCTAGGGAAATGGATTTGATCCGCTTTGTTCGGGACGTAGGTAGGGGAACGTAAGATAAAATGCATCTCTGGGGCAAAATGACTTTTTTTTTTTGGATTGAAATTAACACTTCCAAAACGTTTTCGTGGAAGTAAAAAACGTATTTTAAATGCCGAAAAGTCTTTTAGCCCCGAGGTGCATCCAACTCCAGAAGCCCTTACCTTTTAATACGTAATTTGTACTAGTTCATGCAAAAGGCGATTATTTTTCTTCAGGCAGGGTTACATATTTCCCAGAAATTTACACGAAATGGAAGTGAAAAGCATTTCTTTTGATTAAATCTAACTTAATAGCAACTTTGATGATAACAAAAAAGAGGTACCGTTGTTTGCGGATGCAGTTTAAGCTGGTATTCGTTTTTTTGGATTCCTTGATACCTGCTTTTTGGTAATAAAGTTACCATTTGCGGTCAGTTTTATTACTACCAAAGATCGGGCAGCTAGGAGTTGTAAAAAGGAAACTCCTTCCGCAGTGTCAGCTTTCTAATGATGAGCTTCTTTTCAAAATCGGAGGGAGTTAAGCTCAGCAATTCCATTTCAAATGACGATTTTATTTTAATTTTTTGATCGACCTTTTATTATTGTGTTGAATCTTTTCCCAGTAAAATTATACACTGTAAAAAATTATTTTAATATTTACAAAAAAAAATCAAAATTATATAAAACATTAATATTACTCAAATTGCATATTTTTATTTTTATTTTTTTATATTCATATTGTAGTTTAGGTAAAGTGCTACTCACTGACAATGTGTTTGCTGGGCAAATTATGAACAAAAATTTTATGAATTATTGAAAAAAGAACTATTTTCCAAAATTCAATTCCAAACTACAATCTTAGATATAGTGTTTATATTAAAACACAATAAATTTACAACAAAAAAAACCCTTAGTACTTAAATTGCCCAAAGTTGTTATTTTCGAGATACTCGTAGGCTAAAATTCACTTATCGCATAATTTGAGTACTTTTAACCTTTTGAGATGTACTTCATTGATACCTAGCCACTTGGTAAGAATATTTATTTCAGTAGCAAAAACTGATATTTAAAGAACTGCACAAGCATATCTTCAATCAGTCACTAACGTAACGTAACGTAACGTAACGTAACGGCTAAATCGTCAAACCTGCATAGATAAGCGCTCTGTTTTCGAATCGGTTTTAATAGTATCGTTTAATACCATTTGGACTGCAACTTCAGTGAATCGGTAAACAATTAGCTCTTGTACCATCCAACATAAAGTACGCATCGAGTTTTGCCCAAATCGAAGTGGTGAGCTGGTTTGAAAATTCACTCCCTGCTTCTATTCTGCCGCCATTGACAGTGATATTTCGTTGCCAGGAGTGTTTGTGTTTTCTTTAGGGAACGATCGGTGGTGTTACTCATTATCTGCTTTGTGCTCATACTGTGTTAGTTGCTCTTTGGGTAGTACTAGAATTTGCTGTTTCTGTTTTTGCTCCAGTTATTCACACGTTCCACTATTTACGATTAGATAGGATAGCGAAGGTGTTTATATACGACAGTCTCAAAAGTCGTGTTGTTCAACCTGAGCCAGTCCTGGTCAGAAGTTAAACAGTGCGTGCGGTGCTGATGCGTGAATAGAGTCGCTGTTGTTGTGTATATCGGCGGTCTCAAAAGTTGGTATACATCAGCTCGGCTAGATTCTGGTTCTGGTCGGATGCTTTGGTGGATTCTGAGCGAGACGGTTATTTCGCATTGTATAGGAAACCTAGCTTGCAATTGTACAGTGCAGTTCTAGTTTCAGGGTAGATTTCTGAGTTCTGCTATTTCCTGTTTCCAACTGAATTTACATACTTCTCGTGGTAGGGACTTCTCTCTGAAAGTGTGCTGCAGAAACGTAGGGTGAATTTGATGATCATGGATCCATGTAGAATTTGTGGCAATCCAACTGAGCCCACGGATAAGACCGTCCTGTGCAGTGGATCATGCGCAAATTTTTTCACCCCTGCTGTGTTGGATTAAACGCGACGAATCACAAAGCCTGGACGGCGAATGTGGGACTACTGTGGTTTTGTGACATCTGCCGAGTAAATTTCAATCCTGTTGTCATGGACCGAGAGACAGTGCTGCTGAAAACTTTAAGGGATCTTCTGGTACGTGTGGATTCCATGGACCTGCGCATCGGACAATATGGAGAAAATTTGAAAGTTCTCAATGCTATGTTATCGGCTGTACCATCTAACAGAAGGGAATCCAGTGCATCCAATCGTCTCCAGTTATTACTTTCCGGCTGTTCTGGTGGCGGTCTTGCGGATTTTCATTCGAGTATTGATCGGATAAACCTGGACAGTTCCTTACAATCGCAGTTGGAGAACTCATCAGCTGGTGAGGATGGTCTGGCAGCTCTATTACCTATCGTGGAAAACAATTCTGTGAACCAACTCACAGCCACCCAAAATACTGCAAGTTCCGTTTCGACTGCATCTACCAATACTATTGCAACTGTTACTGCTACTACCGCTGCTGCTGCTGCTGCTGCTGCTGCTACTGCCACTACTCCTGCTCCAACTACCATTGCCGCCACTACTACTGCTGCCACCTCTGCCACGTCTACTGCTACTGCTACTGCCACTGCTGCTGCCAGTACTCCTGCTGCCACTTCAACTGCTGCTACTGCTTCCACTTCAACTGCTGCTACTGCTTCCACCTCCACCGCTCTCTCTTCCTCATCATCTGCTGCAACGTTCATGTCGTCTGAGAGTTGCAAATGGGAACCAACGTAAACGTGATCAGACTGAAGAAGTGCTGAGGTCTTTCTATGTAACACCATTCGCCATTGATCAAACAGAAGTCGACATCCTGGAATACATCAAAGAGATTTCGAACGCTGAGAATTCTACACTTCGCTGTGCCAAGTTAGTTCCGAGAAACAAAAACATCGATGAGCTAACATTCATCTCCTTCAAGGTGACGGTATCTGATGAGCTGGTTGGTATTGTCAGTGATTCCGCCCGAAGGCGTTCAGGTCCGTGAATTCGAATCAAAAAACGCGAATCGACCAGTGAGCCTTCAGCAGTCCTAACAAATGAGATGATGATCAGTTCCGAGGTAAGGCCCGATGATGTCTATGAATCGGTTAATTCACGTTGCATTTCTGATACGATCATGAAACACTTTATTGAAAAACCCGCTAGGAACTACATTAAAATTGCCTTCCATAATGTTCGCAGCATTGTTAAAAATATTGATTATTACAGAACCTTCTTTCAGAACTCAAAGCTAGCTGTGTTGGGGATTGTTGAGTCTTGGTTGAAGTCTTCAATAACAAACAAATTTGTTGAGTTAGATGGCTACAAAATTGTTCGTTCTGAACGACTTTTAGACAATAAGAAGCGAGGCGGAGGAGTTGCTTTCTATCTAAAAAGGTTCTTGCTAAGTCTGATGCTGGTGATGAAATTGATTACCTTTTTGTTAAATTAGTTCATTCAAAGCTTGTGTGTGGCATTGTCTACAGACCTCCAGATGTAAGGGTTTCTAAACTTAACAGTATTTTCGAACTTGCGCTGGAAATCAGTGCTACTGAATCTCATTTCGTATTGATGGGCGATTTCAATATAAATTTGTGTGACACTTCTTCACCTGTTACAAACAAGTTAATCGATATGGTTAAATCACTTTCTGTTAAAATTTTACCTCTTTCCCCCACTTGTCATAAATCAGGCTGCAGTTCATCTTTTATTGATTATGCACATGGAAATTGTACGTTTAACGTTAGCAACATCTTTCAATCTTCTATAGGAGGTGCTAGCGATCATGATTTGATCTGCTTCGATTACAGAGTTAAGGTACCTCATCAACCTCCAGCTGTGTATTGGACAAGAGAATATCACAAGATAAACACCGATAGTTTAATAGCTGACTTGCAAAGGTACAATCTTGATGCTATTTATTACTGCAACTCAGTTGATGGAAAATTACAAATTTTAAACGATATACTTTGTTCTGTCATTGATGATCATGCCCCGTTGAAAATGAAAACTACTGTTGATCCTAGTGCTCCATGGATTAATCCATACATCAAAAATCTCTTCCAAAAACGATCTGAAGCTTATGATAAATGGAAAACAGATAAACCCAGCGCAGCTAAATGGAATGCTTTTGCAAGGTTGCGAAATAGGACAAACCGTGTAGTGAAACAATCTAAGTACACTTACTTCTCTCGGCTCCTTAACCCTTCTCTTTCTTCCAATAAACTTTGGGAGAATATAAAACGTTTGGGACTTTCAAAAACTCAAAGTAGAGCAGGTGGTGGTGATGTGTGTAACATCACTGCCAAATCATTGAATCAGTTCTTCATGTCAAATCAAGCTTTACTTTTGATGAACAATCTGTGGCTGGTAGGTCCTCGTCATCTTCTTTTTCATTTAGGAATGTAACGAATGAAGAAGTCCTGACCGAATTCAATTCCGCGTCCAGTGATTCTATCGGCTTTGACCAGTTACCACTCAGCGTTTTGAAAAAAACTCTTGTTGTCATTCTTCCTACCATAACGAACTTATACAATCACATTATAACAACTTCAACATTTCCACAGCTTTGGAAGATAGCACGTGTTGTACCTATTGGCAAAATTGATAATCCAATGAACAACAAG